GGGGTTGGGGCAGATTTAGGGACACTCTCCATAAAATAGGTGTTGCAATTAAGAAGCAGTGCCTATGAGCCTTTACCACTACCAACTTATCTCATGAAACGTATCACCTTCGTGAACCTGAACTATAGTTTGTGTGATCCATTTGATCCTAAACAGTTGCATTTTAAATGGTTCTTGAACATCAGTTGGACAGTTTCTGCATTGGCTGAGCCCAATTTGAAATTCTCAAAACTAGCTGGCTAAAACTTTTCGGGGGTACTGTCTTCTGAAAGGTCTATCTTCCCTGCAGGTTGAATACTTCTCTTTTATAGTTTATGGCAATTCAATTTCAGTCTCAAATCTGAATTGAATCATACCCCCTTTACCTCTTTAGGCACTTTAACTCCATATCTCATTCTCTCTCTCTCTGAAGAACAAGGTAGCATAGCTAGAATTTCCAAATCATTTCCAGTTCAGATACTGACTAGTTGCAGATCCGATAATCCTTTTCTCAGTCCATAGTCAGAGGTAGTAAAAGCATAGTTGGGCTACATTTCTGTTCCAGTAGAAATATATACATTAAGTGTACCGGTGGGTGTATGTGCATATCTCTGCAAAATAAAACTAAATAATAAATTAACCAAATTTTTAATCAGCGGATTTTTAAAGAATGCATTTTTTTTCAAAATAGCTATGTAACCATCCTCATCAAGAGTATGCCAAAGTAGCATTCACTGAAAAAAATACAGTTAAATCTTTGGGAGAGGATAAATGGGAATATTGCCACATATGTTCAGGAACTAGGCTCAAATTTTATATCACCTTCTAAAGCATATCCACCAAAGGATCTTTAAATAATGTCAGTTCTTGGTGAATTAAATCCAGTTACCCACATATAACAAACTCTTCCAATGATTATTATTTTTATTATTGACCCAACATAAAGCCCCCAGAATCAAAGTTATACAGTATTCAATATTTAAGTACTGTATTAGGGAATTCCCAAAATACGAAACATGATGCTTTTAGTAGGTATGAGTAACAATCCAATTCAAAATATAGAATTAAGAGTAAAATGCAAATAAAACAATGCACAAAATATTAGCAATACAGAATACAACGAATTTTAAATTAAATATCGTATGGTAAGTTTAAATAGGGCTTGGTCTCAGACATTTGGCCTGGATAGGCCCATCAGTTCAAATCCAGCTCCCTTCAACTGGTGGGGAAGCTGAATTTGCTTGCAATACATTAGCTTTGGGCAGAACGAAGAAGGAGAAAAGAGTTAACAATAATGGTAAAAATGAGATAGGAACCCAAAAGGGAGAGACGGGGATCTTGATGAGTGTATAGAAGCTTGTTTCCTTCTATGAGATAATATTTGGCAGAAAAAGGAAGAGAGTTAAAGATAGAAAATTAGACAAATGCCAGTACAGAAATGCACATCAAGGGGATTAGGTGATATTTAGGGAGGCACCAGTCTGGAAACAGAAATCCTCCTAAGAAAGAAGAAGAGGGGTTCAAAAGTTTATCCTTCCTAAGGTCCCACTGGACCAGTCAAAAAGTAGCTGGAGCACAAAGAGGACCTGGATCTAGGCCACAAAAAAAGCAGAGCAAAGCCCTTTTCTCATTTCTTGGCCGGAATTGCCCGCTGTAATTGGCTTTTGCACTGAAACGTCTCCTCAATTCTATCCTAGCAGCCCTGCATAAACCTCCAGAAGGAAGTCCAGGGGCTTGGTCTTTGGGGCCAGGAAGTAGCCCTGTGTGAGGAACGCCAGAGGGTTTCTCTCTGCCTTTCAGGGATCTTGCCTTGGACTTTACAGCTTCTCACAGCTTATGGTTGCTCCTTCCAGGCTCAGAGTCTCTCTGAGTTTCCCTGGATGGTGGGGGAAGACAGAACTTAGGGGTTCTGGCATCTCTTTTCTGTTTGGCTAGGCCTGTCAGGTCAGCGAAACAGGGGAGGGGGTGAATCACAAACTGCTGACCTGGGGAGACTACAGTTTTGAACAGGCAACAAAGGAAGCACGGGTTGGCACACATTTGGATTGCTTTTAGCTCATCGGAACAACAAGGCATTTGGGAACTATGAGACCAGAGTGGGAAGGAAAAACAAGGGTGTGTGTGCATGTGTGTGTGTGTGTGTGTCTGGGACAGTGTTGTCCAAACTTGGCCAC